GGCTTCAATCTTCGATTTCTCGTGAATAAAAGCTCACAGTCGCAACATGGTATTGGATACAACTTGTTTACCAAAGGTCTCGGTCTTAGAACAGTTAGCGTCTTTCGATGGTTCAAGCATTGCTAGATAAATATTTCAATTATTTTGACAGTTATTTTACTATACTGTATTATTTTACCATCAACAACAACATCTTAATAGAGCTATTTTGACCAAAAGAGAAAATTGAATATTGCTAACTGATTCTAAGAGCATGAGCCGATGAAAAAGTGTGGAGCATGTTCTTCATCTCCTGACAATTAAATTGGCGTGACTCCGTTGACTTTGATCGGTGGCGACGGCGGCGTGCATCGGCGTATCACTATGGTGGCTTTCAAAATGTCACATTTCAAAGCTGAATTTAAACCAGAATATTTTATTACTGTATATGTGACTTGTTGCAGATAATTATTTTTTTTACCGAAAACACCATCCAAATATTTCGGATAGTATCGGAAATATTTCCTAAGGTGTTTTTCAGTTATTAAAATCATCCCAGATTAAGTAAATTCAGAAGAGATGGTCAGGCACGGGCATTTTTACCCAAATCCCGACCCGTACCCAATCATGGGTTCAGGTAGAGGTTCAATTAATTTTATTACCGCCCTAATTTTTTTCGGGATTCGTATGCAAATAAATAAATTTTTGAGTTCGTGTCGGGTACGGGTAACAACAACCGTGGAATCGTCGGGTACGGGTATTTCTTGAATCTTGTCCAATTAATAAAGTACGAGTGAACTACACAATGTGCTAAAAATCTCGCTAATAATTTTATTAAATTAAAAAAATAGGGCGGTAATAAAATTAATTGTTATTCAAAAACTAGCTTTGATATTTTTATTTTAGAAAATAAAGATGAATGTTTTTACTGTGGTTAAATGACATGTCTTAGTAAAGCTATTTTTGTTTTTAGAACAATTAGAAGATACTGTCATACACAGTGTCTTTCCGATCATGTGCGTTTTCAAAAACAAAAGAAACATGTTCTACGGCAAAGTTGTAGCTGAGTAAATGTCAAGCTAATTTATTATAGAAACATTTTTCTATCTTTTATAGTTTTCGTTTTAGAGTTATTTGTCTAAATTGACTAAGGGTGTTCCTGAAATATTTAAGTTTCTTAGCTCTAATGCCTTGTTCAGACTACACAGTTATAACATGTTACAAGGGTGTTATAATAAGTATCTACAAGAAAAATGTCATCAAGATAGTCTTGTAGCATGTTATAACTCCGTAATGTGAACATAGCAAAAGTCTTTCATTTCTCGTGAAAGACGCTTTGAAAGAACTTTATAAATTGTTGATATGCAAGCTTTTGCCGCACAAAGTATTTAAATCGATATCTCTTAAAGATCAAGAAATATTATCGATTTTCTTTTTTTTTAAACGATCTTTTCAAATATCAATTTCTTTGCATGGGGCGATACACGCTAACTTGAAAGTACCTACTAATTAGTAAAAAAAAGACCGATTTTGAATAAAAATGGATTAACCCACATAATGAGTAAAACCTACTTGTCAGCAAACGTTTTAAAAAAAAATCTCAAATCATAAACATACTTCATATTCTTTATTGCACATAAACACTTAATCATAATCACAATACATATTACACAAATAAGTAGAATCTACCGATAGGCACGGTTGCAGACATTTAAACTGAGCATTTTCTGCAAGAGCGGTTTTAACATTCGACCCAGATCACTACTGGAAGCGATCCACGAGGCATCCTATTGATCGAACAGGTTTAGACCCTTGCGCATTTGAATTGCATTTTCCTCATGGAAGATTTTCGCTGACCTAAAACGGAACATATTTTTACAACATATACAATTTTAGGTTCAGTTTTGAAATTTAGAATAATAAATTCCCTAGTACTAAGTAGTAACCAATATCACAATTATGTAAATAATAGATAAAGTTAGAAAACGAGCATTAGGTTATTTTCAATACAGAATCACTTCGCCTTCAATGCGCTTTCCTTATTCGCCTTCTGCTACTGTTCAGAAGTAGTTTTTCTCCTTTTTCCTCGTTGACCCCTGTTACACATTCGGCTATTTGTTGACGCCGTCACCGGGGTTCAGCTGAGGTGACAACGCAGAACGCTAACTTGAGGCAATACACCCAGCATCGATTGGAATGAAGCAGAGGGTGATGCCGAAAGGAGCATTCGTTTATTTATATGGCTGGCAGTCCGGCAACTTCGTCTTCCGTGCGCACGATTGACGATGGAGAGCGCTTTAAAGCTGTCGCAATCCCGAACATAATGTCCACGACCTTTACAAACGCAACACTGCTTCTCCTCATCCTTAGATTGCTCCGGTTTGCTAACGTGTGCGTTGATTGATCCCTTGTTCTTCATCCTTGACTTCTCCACGTTGGCAGCTTTGCAGAATCCTCCTGTGTACTAGGTCACCTTGCTTGCCCATACCACCACGCCACGCCGGTCATGAAGTCCCGAAGGTTTTGAGATTCACCTCCGGAAACCGCTGCATGAAATTTGCCCACTCCATCTTCACATGTGCGGGCAACTTCTCTACCAGTTCCATCAAAAGACACGGATTCGTTAGATGTGACCGCTGACCCGCCGCCTCTAGATGGTCACTCAAGCTTTGCGCCGCCATTCCAAACTCGATGAGTGTTTTGAGGCGCTCTGATGCAGGCGCAGGAGTTGATCGCACATTATCCAACAGCACGTTGAATAGCACTTCCGGACATTCGTAGAGAAGCTAAGAGTGTTGATCACTTGTGGTGGCACTGATTCCGGAAGCAGTAGACGGCTTCTAACTGCTTAATATGCTGCACCGTTCTGACACCGTTCCATTTCTACACTGGAGTATCCACACGCATCGGTCGAATTCCCGAAAGCACGAATAAAGAAAAGGGAGTAACTAACTTGTATCCATTGATTTTTTTTTGGTTTAACTCGGTTTTTGGTTTAACTAAAATTTTCTCATAAATCACACCTTAGTGTACAGAAGCAATTGATGATAATATTAAAATATGGCATACACTCTGTTTTCAATATATAAAAATGCCTGGTATTCAGATCATTTTAGACTTTAATCTGTGAACCGTGTACAAGTCTGCAGGTGTCTTAAGTTTTTATGATGAATATTATTTTTATTCCGGTTGGCGTTCGTAATCTTCGTCAATTAGAAATTGTTAATAACTATCAATCACCTCACATTTTTAATGATATTATATCGATACTGCCGCAAACACCATTTTACCGGTAAAAATCACCTTCCAATATCCGTAACTACCACCCACTACCAGTAGACCTTCCAACGTAGCTTGATCCTGCTCAGCATCCCAGCATCATCACAACCCTTCTCAAGTGCGGCAATTACCGTCCGCACCCTATACGTGTAAAAGTGTCTTTTTTCCTCGCTTCAGCAGCCGTTCGCTATTCAATTTCAAAAGGGAAAACAGTTTAATAGGATGAAAAGCGCTGGTAAGCAAGGGTGATACAATTTTAAATAGTGGGATGATGCTGTGTAGCGCAATAGCAGCAGGACGAGAGCGAGAGAGCGCAAATAGAAGCATAAAATAAAAAGGAACCACTACCGCGCACTCTGGTATGAGTCGCGGGGGTTTCGTGAAAATTATGTGTATAGTTACTAAATATTAACAATAATATGAATTTACGAACACAGAGGAAAAAAGTAGCGCTGTTGCTGTAATGTTCTATCGCTCTATTTTTTTTTTTTTTTCCTTTTTTCAAGAAGAAAAGGGGGTGCTTGGGAAAGAGTATGTACGATCAAATGTAAAATTGCGAATAATGCAGGGGTTGTTTTTTGTGTTTGAAAAATATTAAAATGTAGGTAAGAGTTATGATATGGGGAAACGAGGAAAAAGGTTTTCTATACATTCAAAGCACATATAAACCATAAAAAATCCGCGAGCTGAGAAAGTTTCACAGGACTCACTTTTCGCGTGTAGGCGGTGTTAGAAATAATAGCGTCTCTAATGTACAAGGCACTAATACTTCAGTTACTAGCGACCATACAGAATGGTCCGGTACATTGTTTTAGAAAGTAATGGTAGTTGACGAGGGAGTGAAGAGAAAAAGTCGCATCTAAGTATGCTAGTAATGACTATCCTATCCTCCCACCGTTGCTATTATGAAACGATTATTATCCCGAAGGCGCTTTATAGCTTGCTACGATTACGATGATGCACAACAAGAGTCAATGTCGGGCGCAACGGTTCCACGAAGCAGCAAGGTTAGCCTAATCCATAGGTTTTGATGCGCGCACCGCAAAACAATAGGGAAAAGATTACTTGCACGCCTGCCACCCAGCTCACTTGGATGGTTCTTATCCTTGCCGCGAATACACGCGAGATGCAGACGACGATACTACCGCGCCGCGCCATCTAAGATGTATTCGTGGCTGTTTAGTGATGAAAGATCCGAAAAAATATAATTTTTGATACATATAGAATCACACACCACCCTCGCTAGCCCAACGTCACGCCACGACTCCCCGTTTCACGACGTGGCGGTCGGTGGCGGCGGCCGTGTTTGCTATTTGGAATCCACTCCATTTATTCGCACAGGCAAGCCGAATGCTGTGTATCTGTGTGACTTTTTTTCTCGCTATGTTCGTATTTTTATTTTTATTTTTCGATGTAGAAAAACTGGGTGGATTTGTATTAGTGATGGTGTAAGGTCGGATGTTGATGGTTTGGGAAAACATTGGGAAAAGCGGAAAGGAAAAGAAGTAGATTTTTTATGTAGCTGCTGCCGCTGATGCTGGCTGGTGGTGTACCACTCCTCGCTCGCGGATGCTGCTCTCCGGTACTTGGGAAAACCGAGCCTTGTGTATATAGAACACACAGCGATATTAGTAATAATGTATATACATAAGGAAAAACAACACATTATTATATACAATTTTCGTTTTTCCAATAGGGAAAAAATTGGTGTAGCAAATCAGCAAAAGATTTCTAACCGCCAAACTGAACATACACGCAATTACATCCGCGGTCTTAGTTCGTTAAGTTTTTAGTTCTATGGCAACAGTTTTCCCGTAAGACCAAGTAAAATATACTACAAAATACTCAGAAGGAAAAGCTACATATTAATCAAACGAAAACACAAAGCACGAAAAGTCATATGAAGTGAAATTTTCGTTGAGTGACTATTTGTTCCGGATTTGTTCAAACTAACCCACAAGTGCAAACCAATCAAATTCAAAAATTCAAAATGCGCTCCCATGCGAGAACCTAGGAATCGCGCTAGTCTAAGCGAACGCGCAAAAATTGATAACGCCGTGGAAAAAAATTAAAGTAATTAGCTCGCCTCTCTCACCAAATTTCGGCAAAGAGAATCATCAGAGCTGTTTATATATGTGATATTACCCGAGAGTAGACGGTAAACGCGAAAAAACTATATACATTAAAAAAGGCAACTACACCATTCGCAAAATGTGAAAAAGTAAAAACGATTTTTTCGTCTTGACTGTGTGGAAGTTTTCTATCCTTTTTTATTACTGCAGTACATGCTCTATTTTTCGCATTTTTGTACCACTGGTTACAATATTTAGTTTGTGCTCTGTGTCGGCATCACCAGGAGAGTCGATGCACGAAGGAGAAAATATGGCACCCGTAATACCTCATTTTTTGCATTTCTAAGTGACTCAAACTGACTGTGTTAATAATTTTACAGTGCAATTGATTTCGCGCTAATAAGTGATACGATTGTTGTAGTTTTGTGTGCATAATAACCGAAAATTCGCAAATTCACTCCCAAACCGGTGTAAACGTTGAAACCATGCAGACGAATTTATCCGTGTGATGAAGTATGTAGATTATGATTTCAAGTGCTCAACATGGAATATCAACTAGAATCTAGTCGTTATTATGATGGATGTACTGCTCGAAACAGTTGTGAATAGTGCAAAAGTGCAGTGACATCACTAGCTTACGCACGAACCAAGCCATGCGTGTGCCAAAACTCGTTGTATAACTATCAATCGTTGGATACTAGCAGAAAATTTGCCCGATAAAATCGGTATACGATAACCGTATACATCAGGTAAGGCTCTGTCACATGTGGTGGTTATCTCTACTCAAACTTATATTTTTCCGTATAGTTTACTTGCCCCTCTTTTTTTTTGCAAGACCGAAATTGATACGTCTCCCTCTTTATCGCAGTTTCTTATCAATTTCGGCAACGTATGCGCAAGCAGTTCACGAAAAGTTTAGGAACTATGTATGTACAACTGTTCCTCAATGACACCGTGTACTCAAGTGTCTCTTTCGTTTTTGGGTTTCGTGAATGTTATTGTATTCTCAAATAATGAGTTACGATTCAGTAACAATAACCTATCTTCTGTAAACGTCAAGTCAGGTCAGGGATAAATTATTACGCTGTTTATCGGTGTTTTCTTAATGATTTGAGTTGTCAACTTCTATTTTCTTCACTCTAAATCTCTGTTGATTAAATTATGTAGACAGCTAAAGCAGGTGTTCGCTCTGCTAGGGTGATAGACCACTTTTTCTCTTTGTTCCACATGTTTGCCAAATTGCACTTTAAATAAAAGTGTTTGTTATCAGTCACCGAAAAAGTGCGATTAAGTGTGGCATCAGAAGAAGGGAGGTAGCACTGCTGGAGCAAGAAACTGATAAGATTAAACGCGTATTTGCGACTACAAAGTTGGTTGGAAAAAAATACAACTAACAAAAGAATAATGCTTAAGTAAATTTGAACCATGTCTTGCAAAAAGCTGGTTTAGTTCAACATCTAACAACATAATTTGAAAGAAAGTTATATTAACCTGCAATGTTAAGTGCAACCAAGAACACTATGATAATGACACATGTATGGTGTCATAAAGATTAGAATGCTATATTTGATACTATACGTGTTCTAATCAGTAAAAAAGATAAGCTGCCTTATAGACTAATTTGACATATATACGAACTTTTGAATGTTTTATACCACTTACTTGGTAGACTGACGTCAGAGTGTTTCATGAGTTAATTACTCCTAAAATAGTTTAGCTGTTTCTGCTGTTACAGTATTACAAAAATCAATCATAATATTTCTTTAGGATCATCCTCGACTCATGTTCTTCATTGCTTATAAAACTTTAACTAAACAAAGATCAAACCTGATGCAGTGGAATAACATCTATGTCTCGTATATGCCCTAAAATAATGCAATAGATATTAATTAAACATTAAATCGAATCAGGTCAATCCACGAAATTACATCAACGTTTACCGAACGTATACCCTCCCGATTAATAAACCCCCAAACTCTTGTGACACTTATGAGAGATCGTATCTGCATCTCTCATAAGCAAGTGTTCAACTAATAATCCTTCCCATCCCCAGCAGTTGCAATTGTTGTTCTTGATTGTTGAAAATGGTGGGACTAACATCTAAGAGGCCGAAATCAATGCCAATTGCCGGTCGATACGGTAACGGACGGAGGTGGCAATACTTTCAAACAATGGTCTAGGACTTGTACCACCTACGAATTCATGCAACTTGCTTAATGCAAAAGTGAATGTGAGATGATAGCAACGATGACAAACAGCTTATGATCACTTCCCCGGAGGTACTCACTTAATAATCCAAATGTAACCTAACGTACCCTAAGCGATGGTAGCACCCAACCAGTAAACATTAATCAGCTTTGGCAAACAAATGATTTTATCATTTTGCATTGTCTTGATTCATTGACATTCAGATATTGAATGCGGCTATATTTTTGCAAATCCGGTAAATCGCTTAGAACTTTAATATAAAAATCTGGTTCCGGTAAAACCAGTTAAACAATCAAACTTAATAACGCAATAAATAGGGTAACTATGGGCGCAAGTCGTAAGGTTCAATCTTTGATTGTTAGACTATTGAATTATTGATTGATTGTCATACCCACTCTTTGTTTACAACATTTAATGCCTTTCAAGACACCCTGTCGTGCGTGTTAGCTGTAAAATGCAAACATATAAAAAAAATCATTCGTAAATTCTAGAGCACCATATGAAACGGCATACGAGCAAAATGTAAACAATGACTTAAAAGGTCATTTTTTTATGGATTATTACTCATACAGGCAAACCAACAACAGCATCTGGTAAATTAAGTATGCTTTATTTGATGGTGTGGTTTGGTTGCATGGGTGTGTCGTGATTTAAGAGTAATCGACGTTTAAAGTCATTGTTTACATCAGGCACATAGGCTCTTTTAACTTATTGATCTAGAATTAATCAATCGGCAGAATGATGTGAATTCCGGGGTGCACTCCAGGAGGAACCTCATCATCGATATACCTTTTTCGTCGATTTTTCTTTTTAGTTCTACTACTTTTGTATAACTTTCACTTTCACTAATTCACTCTCATTATCACTTCGAACTATAACAGATACGTATTTCGTTTACTACTTGCAAACTTCTTCAGTGTCTAGTCATAGACTTGAAGAAGTCTAGTCGTAGACACTGAAGAAGTTTGCAAGTAGTAAACGAAATACGTATATGTTATAGTTCGAAGTGATAGTGAGAGTGAATTAGTGAAAGTGAATTAGTGAAAGTGATATAGTGAAAGTGAATTACTGAAAGTGATACAAAAGTAGTATGATTAAAAGGAAAAATCGAAGAAAAAGGTGTACAATTATTCTACTAAAATGCTCATCAATCAATTTAGACTCATCATCGATTTCAAATAATGATATGATTAAACATTTATTTCTATCCACATTGGTTCAAATTAAACCGACCGTCTAGGAGGTGAAAAATTTGCTGTATTTACCCAGCTATGGTGAAATCTGACTATCCTTACTCATATAAATTCTGAGCAAAATGCTCAAATCCACGGTCAATGATGTTAGTGTAGCTAATTAATATTGGATAATGCTTATGTGTGTCGCAAGATGGATTTTAGCCGCTTCCCTTGGGTAACCAGAAGTCAGAAAAATTTCAGGAGTGACCAATGTACAGAGAATTACAGAAGTCTATTCATCATCCTCTACAGTCGGTCTCCAAAAAATTTCCCCACCGGTTCCAACTCTTTCCGACCGCTGATAGACCGTTGTTTATCACATCACGAAAGGCTAGGTTTCTGGTCTGCCTTTGAGGGCATTATCAAACCCTAAAACACAGGACTTTTATTATCCTATGAACAAAAAACACCAAAATTTCGCGCACCTGCCTCTTCTCGCATCATCCTCAATCCGATTTATCCTTGCGATTTCAATCCAAAACATTCAAGGTGTCAGAAATACCGGGTTGCCGGGATCGGTATTTTACAAACAATTGCAGCTTGCTCTATAACCGGCACAATCGGCACACTTGCGGCACACTGACAAAAAGGATGACCCAAGATGTGCGGAGTGACCTACCCCTTGGGTTTTGACCACAAACTTGAAAAAAAAACATTTTAATGGGTGACTTTCCCAGAAGTTGAAATATGTCCTTTGCAGTTAGACCTTGCAAACCGAAGTCTACTACGTCGAAACGTGTGCACTTGACCGAACGATTTTTCAATCGAATAAACAGGTCCTGACGAATATGTATTCATCTCCCTAATCGGCGGTTACAATTCACTAACTTCAACTTAAGCTTCTAGGTTACTAGGCACACAAACCACTGATGCGCTGGGCAATAGCGGCTTTCTTTTTGGGTTTTCAGCCCATTCCTCTACTATCCGCCCACTTCGTGTAGTTGGGGGTTGTTATCACCTTTATACACTTCGCCCACTTTGCCTGCTAGTCTACTCTTCTATAAATTTTGTTGGAGGAAGTATCGACTTCAGTAAATCTTAACCTATAATCGTCAGGGGGTAAATGAAGCTGTAGAGTGTCATTTTTTTTTTTTTCAAGGCGATGCTCTGGAACATTGTGCACCTTCTTGCAAAAAAAAATCAGCGCACAAGGACGTCATATTCCACCTTAACGATAATAGGTAAAGAAATGCCGATGCTTTTTTCTCCCCTGTTTGAATTTGGCTCGCCAACAAATTTCTAATATCTTTGGTATATAATACAAAAAAAAAATCTTACATTTATAAGATTTCTCATAATCCTAATTATACAACACCAATCAACTCAAGAGACGTGACTGTAAGCAAAGTTTAAAACACAAATTAATAAATACAGACCATTTGTAATGGTCCGTTATATACTTCTAACCCGCTAACAACGAGTCACCTATGGGTTATTCTAGCTCAAGTGTATCCGAAATTTGTGCCACGGTCTAGTTCATCTCCACCAATGTCACCTATTTCTAGCAAACTTTGCCTAAATTCGGATTTTAATATTCTGAAAACTCACTTTTTTAGATTCCCTCTAAACTAAAAATGTTGATAGTATATCTTTGAATATAGTTTACTCCTTTACAAAATATTGTTTGTAATGAAGAATCTGATATATTTTTCAAAATTTGATATGATTTATTGCAACTACCGTAAAAAACGGTTTATTGGAACTCGAATTTTTTAATGTTTTAATATTTTGTCCTGAAATGTTTTACAAATATTGTAAAACCTATCTAAAAGATGTATTCCGAACAGAAAATAATTTATTTTAAAATATTGTGTCTGATATATAGACAGATTAGTGATCGGTAGCAATTTTTGTACATTTCACTCGGAAAATCATCAAAAATGTCATATGCTTCTATTTTAATCATTAAAGAGTTCATAACCAAAATTGTGCACTTATAAATATACATATGTACCATTTTTCAATGTTTTTGTATGTATCAACCTTGTTTCTCTGAAATTTCATAATTTAAAAGTAATGAGGACTGATTCATTTATAAAAAAGCAATGGTCGGAAAAGGCAATAAAAGAATATTATACTCAATTTGTTTTTTTTTTTTTTTTTTTTTCATTTATATGCGTTTCTGGTGGCTGGTGTCTTGCTAGAAGTTGTTTGAAAATAAATGATCTTTATTTTTATGAAAAAAAAAGTTGGTCCCTATTTAATTTTATATCTGGGTTCTTGCCTTTTACTAGAAGTTGTTGCATTATGCGGCCAAAGTTGTTGAAAATATAATTTCATGCAACTTTGCTGATAATAGCATTCAT